GAAGCATTTGACAACAAGCAGACTTCACTGAAACAATTAATGAAAGGATTTGCAAACATCAACAGACTCGTGATGGAGTGAACTGCGCGTTATTGCGACATGTTGTGATTATAGTATATTTGCAGGCCTTCATTATGATAGAAATCAGAAGAATGTAATTTAATCCTGTTTTACTACTTTTAAAACGTTTACGTATTAAAAATATAAGGTTGAAATAATATAGGTTGCTATGTTGTAATGTAGGCTTACTTAGGATGGAATAAAAATATAAATGTTTCTGGTGGAAATATTATTTGGGTCTGTCTTAAGACTCTTCGACCCCGCATTTTCGGTTCCAAGACCTATGCTCGCTGGGCGTGCTTTTAATACATCTTGTTCACAAAACCTGTTTAACGCAGGTAACATTGCTGCTATTGACATTAGGAAACCGATCTTAGTTTAAGCATACTTAACATGGAAAACATGCTTAATAAGTTTGGTTACAAAACGACCGAGCGAGGTACGAAACCACTCAACTGACTGGGTACGGAAAAACTGGGTACCAAACTTAAACTACCGGTGACCGTCCTCTGCTATCCCCACGCTCCATCCCCTTGGTACAAATTTCTTTCTCGCCCCAGCCTTCATCGTTCTACAAATCTAAGATTTGACCTCCTTTACCAGAGAGGAGCTCACTCAATTTATAACCGCCGTCAATTCCTTTCATCCGGCTCGTAAATATACCTGGGAAATTTCTGACACCTCTTTGGCTCTTCTAGACATCAAAATTTCAATTGAAGGCAACGGTTTATGCACTAGTGTTTACTACAAACTTACAGATTCACAGTTACTTGTTGTATTCATCTTCACATCTATCACACGTCAAGAACTCCATACCTTTTTTCACAGTTTCTCAGACTTCGTCGTATATGTAGTGACGACTCTGATTTTTCCGAAAAATCAGAGGCAATGTGCCAGTTTTTCGATAAATGTGGCTATCCTGTTTCTGTCGTTCAAGCGGGCCACCACCGTACCCGACAAATTGATCGACAGTCAGCACTACAAACGACTGAGAAGGAAAACTCTAGCCGCATTCCATTTACTCTGACATTTCACCCTCACAGCCACGCAGTCAAATCTATCATTCTTAAAAATTTTAAATTACTCCAAAGCGATTCAGAGACTGGCACTATTTTTTCGCAACCCCCACTTATTTCATTCAAACGTGACAAAAACATAGGCAACTTTTTAGTCAGGAGTTCATTTCAAACCAATGACCAATCTGGAACTTTCAAATGCGCTTACTCACGTTGCAAAACATGTTCTTTCATTCATAACGTGGAGAAAATATCGAGACCCAAGAGATCCATTAAGATCACTTATCACAGTTTACCTCCGCCAATGTTATTTACTGTATAACTTGCACTTATTGCAATAAGTTATACATCGGCGAAACAGGAAGACGACTAGGTGACCGATTCCGAGAACACCTTCACGACGTGGAAAGAAATGACAAGGACGCATTCAAACCAGTTTTTAGACACTTTCATCTCCCTAATCATTCTAAACAGTATATGGCAGTCTGCGGCCTTTCCTTACATCTAGGCAGTTCGGAAAGCCGCAAAACACTAGAGCAAAAATTTATCTTCCAAATCGACACCCTTAACCCCCACGGAATCAACGAACGCTTTTCATTCAACTAATTTATTCCTGTTTTCTTGTCTCCACATTCCCACCAATGGCGTAGCGCCACTTTCTGCATATAAACCCACGCACAACCCACAGTTCCTCCAATCGCTCTAAAGGGCTAACGCTCGAAACGTCAGCTTTTTTTACACTTTACGGTGAATATACCTTTCGCAGAGACGTGGAGGGGGGGGGGGGGGGGGACACAACATTTCACCTGCCGTTCGGTTCGAAAGTTAAGTTTTCATCCCGAGTTCATTTGTTAAAATAAATATGAAAAAACACTTCGAACGGAAAACGGAATTATTTTAACGTCTGGATCTTTTGAAAAAAAAAAAACCCTAAACGAGTGGCCCTGATTATAAATATTTAAGCATGGTAAACACATAAGCCTTAACTTGGCTGTTTCTCGAAGCTCAGTGTTTTCCTACATGCCTTTTTCACGTGAAATGAAACGCGACTTGAATATATATAATAAACACTAAAAGAACAACAGCTGATGGAAAATTTAAATTTCATATCTAAAGGCTGTGGATGCAAACTTAATAATGACTCTAAAAAATTAAATCTAGAACGAAATTTTTTTGGAGTTGCGTAGCTTTTCATTTTTCCGGAATCGAAAGTCGAGATTGCAAAATTGAAGTGAAAAGCAAACCAACTGTGATTAATGCCTTAAGTCAAGATACTTTTTTTTCGTCATACAACACTGGGAGTTACATATCGTAAATAACATTCTTCTTTATGCCTTTCCCGGTGTCACCGATGCCTTTCCCGATGCCTCCATTGATTAATATAGCAGTAAAAATATTGCTCCAGTCAAAGCGTTTGGAAAATTGTTTAACTTTTTAAGAATCGAAGTATAACCTGGTAACATTTTGGCTTTACGACACGATTGTTTTTTGCAAGTTACAAAACGTAAATATAATTCTTCTTGGTGTTTTTCCGAATGCCACCGATGCCTCCATTGTTTTATGCAGCAGTAAAGATATATGTGCCATCCACACTCTTGAGAAATTGCTTAACATTTTATTTAGCTGAGTATACTCTTAACATTTCGGCTTTACATCACTATTGTTTTCTGCAACTACAACTGATATGTCTCTATACCAAATATTAAATTTGTTTCCCCGCTGACCACTTGTATTTTTATCTTTTCTTCTTCCCCCGCTCGTCGCCCGTGATGTAGTAACTTGCCTGGGTACAGCGGGAAAAAGCTGTCGTGGTGGTAACTGTCCGCTCTTTAGGCTCTTCACCTTCTCTATTTCACTTTCGATGATTCGTTTCTCCGCCATCATCAATTTGTGAGGTGAAGGAAACAGGACATCGAGATCCAGCGACTTTATGTATTTCAAAGAATCTACCGTGCGGAAACCTCTGCTTTCAAATTCCCCAGCTAGACGCTCGAGTTCGAGTCCATTAGAAATTGAACAAAGCCATTGGTACACTTCACTTTTCGGCGTTGCCATTATGGCGAGAAAAAGCGGGAAATGACTCAAAGATGAACGCAAAATTTTATATTTCAATTCACATCGCAGATTACATACCAGCGTGACACCTGTCAAAACTTGTCAGGCTTGAATATTTCATTTCTCGGAAAAAAGATAAAAAAACCACGCTTAAATTCAATTTTCTTACATTGTAACAACGAAGCCACAAAGGTTTTGTACATATATTTGATGTTTCTACAAAATATCACCCCTTTCAAGGAGAACAGAACCATCCCGCCTCGTTATTTCCACAGCTTCCTCAAAGAAAAACAAGAGTTCGTTACCGTTGGAAGCGCCTTCGAGTATATTTACAAAATCGACTCCCAGAATGTAAAAGATTTATTGTAAAAGTTGCATTGGATGCAGATCTCTGGATTTCAAAGGCAGGAGTCCCGATTATTGAATTTCCGTATCGTCTGTTCATTGTAGTTTTTGTAACACTTGCCTCGTCGAAAAAGTGGATTGTACTGACAACCAAATCACTGACCTGATCAAGAAAGAAGTTCGTACGGGCTTCGATCTCTGCTGTTCTAGATTCAGACGGAACCGTGTGAATTTTCTTTTTTGTCATCAGTAGTTCGTTTCTAACGAATTTGGTAATTGTACTTGGATGAGGCAAGTCCGCTGGGTGAAGAACGCCATCCAATACAAGTCTATTCTGTAATTCGGAGGTATAGATACCAGGTTTACAAATTTTTTCAATTTCAATGCATTCAGCAGCAACTGGAGTCAGAACAGTGTGACCTTTGTGGCGTTTTGGTGGTTGAAAACAGGAGTTTGTCAAATCATAGTCACGCAAGACATTTTGAACAAAACGACGACTTGCCCAAAGTTGTTGTGCAATTGTGCGCTGAGATACTCCATCGTGGTGAAGATCCAAGACCCTTTCGCGAACAAAATTTGGTAAACGTCTACCGTTATCGAAAAGCCCACCAGCCTAATTGATTCTAAGTTGCACGGACATAATCCCGCACTTATCCAACACTAACTGCTTCTCAAAAAAGGAAGCCAAGGAGTATATACCAACGGTCGCATTGTAATGATTGGCTTACGCAAACCACAAAGGCGTAGAAAAAATTATTAGGGCCGATTTTTGTTTTGAAATTTCAACCGCTCAGGTATCTTTCGATTGAAATTTGTTCGACAAAGGGCCGCTTTGGTAATCAACATTTATTTATTGACTAAAACTGTACATACAGTCGGAAAATCAGAGGCGGCCGCTTCAAAATATTAATCGAACTTTTGAATCTGCCGCGGCTGTTCCCACAGTCGAAATTCTTTGTTAACGAATCGGTTTCTGATTGGTTAAAAAACCTCGGGTGGCCCCGGTTGAGGCCGTTGCACTGTAAGCTACGAGAGGACCGTTAAAAATTTGAACACGTTATAACGAATAGTGTGTCAAAAAATAGTCCTGTCAAAAGACTTTTGACAGGAATAACGGTGATGCTAAAGCAAGCCTAAAACGGAAGAAATCACCAGAAGCTACAACGGACACACAGGATGTGAGTAAGTGTTAATGATTTTACGTGTAAATTATTCATATTTCGAAATATTTATCGTTGTAAATCGACCATATTTCGTTCCTCATACTATTCGTTATAATGTGTTCAAATTTTCAACGGTTCCTCTCGTAGCTTAACACCGAGCCACACAACGTGACGCGTTCATGAATTAATCGTTGGCTTTTTTCTCGAGACGTGAGCGTTGTTTCTGAAGACTCTGAAAGAAAGCAGTAACACGATCGCAGACCAGGGTCAGATGATGAGGAGTTAAAAATTCTTGCATGGTTTATCGTTATTTCATGACGTTACTTTAGCAACAATACCATTCATACTTTGCCACTTTCAGATGGAAAATGCAAAGGAAGATCGAGCAACAGCATCCAACTTCACGGCAACTTCTTCACGATCTGCACCAGAGGAAACTGTTCACATCGAGTACTCTGAGGTGAGAGAAACTATTCGAAGACTACAGGAATAAATACCGTCATTGGACTTACTACTTTATTACATACCCTTTTGGGCCAATTATTGAAGAGTGTGCTTCCCCCCCCCCCCCTTAGGGCCCCGGCTTTACTCATGATATGAATTATAACAGATGAGCATTATTTAATTTTTAGGTTGAAGTAAACTTCTTTTGATGCCAGAATATGCCTATGAGGATTGTTAGTTGTCTTTTGAGGGTGCCAGCAAAACAAAGCTATTAAATTAAATGGAAATGTGGAAAGGGGGAATTCACACTGCTTGTAAAATGAATACAACTCAAGTTGTGTAATATGAGGTACATTTAAACTTTGCAAGGAGGAGGTGCTTCATGTGAACACTTTACCTTTTACTCAACTATTTGATTTTTAATTGTTTGTTTTTTAAAGGTTCCCCTTGCCTATAGAGGATTAAATGATAGTGTTACTGATCAAGTTTCAAATAGGTAAGTTGTTTTGTCTGAAACTTGTAAACTTTACCTTTTTGAAGCATACTGAAGTTATTTTTTTCTATGCGATCCCATGGACTGTTTGTCACGGTGAGTGTAATCCTAAGAAGGACTGTTGTTAGTAGTGCTCACTGATATTTTGCCACTACTTTTAACTGTTCTTCTCACTGAGCTACCCCCATGTTATCAAATGTTACCCCCAATTATTCAAAACATTTACTGTACCAATACCATCTATCATCACATTCATTGATTTTTTCCTCTTAGATCTGTTCATCACAGAAGTTTAAGTAGCTTAGTTTTGTGGCACCCTAGTGTACTGGACATAACTGTTCTGGATTGACATTTTACTATAGGGAAATGGAACAAGAAAAGGAATCTGAGTTACTTTTTTCTTTTTTAAAACTTTATTGACCCTTTAACTCCCAAGATTTCATAAATAATTCTCCTTACTGTCTGCCATACAATTTATGTGATGTTAGTTTGGAGAATTTGGCATTGGATTAACCAATAATCCCCCAATTGATATTTTTAGTTTATTCCTATTACTTGCCTGCTTGATATCATACTGATAGTGTAAGGAGAAATTCTGTTAAATGCCACACCTAGAAATTTTTTCCCAATAAAAATATATCAAAGGGTTGTAAAAATAGCAGGAAAAGAGATGCTTCCAGAAATGCTGATTGGTGCCAAAGTTCTTGCCTTTCACACAAAATGTTTTGCATTTATTAATGTGGGCATCCACAATTTTGAAAAATAAGTGAACTTGAAAAATGAGCAACAAAAACCCTGTAGTTCCTTTTGAAGTTCATTCTACTGTGCTGTCTAGTTTTATGTGCAAAGCTGTGCTTTTTCTGTGGAGAAGATTATCACAATTCTAACCTATTAAGTCCTATTTTATTAGCATGTGATGGTTGTTTGCTTTATTGCTTGGGCTATTAATGGCCATGAAAACTTATAATGGAATTTTGTAGATGTTTTTTCATCAACTCAGTGCATTTTTTTAAAAGAAATAACTCTTGATACTGTTTAACTTCCCAATATTCATGTGAAATTAATTGAAAGTGAATATACTGTTTTTAAAAAAATAATGCACTAAAATGCTTTTGATCCTAAAGATATTTCAGGGAAACTATAGTGCCTTATTTATATCATCTTAATCATCATTAGTTATTATTTTATTATTGATCTTAAAGCAAAACCTTAACACTGAGTCTGACTCTAGTTGATGAATTAAAAGTGTTGCAGGTAAATAGTTATTTTGAGAAGTGTGTTATCTTCTGATATAGAAGTAATGTTTCCTTAGTGTGTTCATGTACATGTACATCACAGGATGAGTCTTTTCTATCCTTTACAAACCCACAGTCATGAAAAGCAATCCAAACTTCAATTCAAACAAACAAGTTTTCTCAAACAATATATAGTGAACTGTCTTGTTTTCTGTTTGTCAGCCCTAGGGATGTTCAGTCTCCTCTTACTACTGGTACTCCTACCCAAGGAGAATGTCAGGGAAGAGAGGAGCACTCATGTTTGAATGGAAATCATCACCAAGGTATAGAAGACTCTCATGATGTTTAGTGATGCTTTTAATGAAAATTTTAAAATAAACTTTACTTAGTTTAAGTAAACAACTTACTGGTACATTGAAAAAAACCACAAAGGTTTTTAAACAATTGACAAAGATAAAGACAAATTTCCAATATCTTCGATGAAAACTAGGTACTATAACTGCTATTACAACTCTAAGGCCTCATCTTTTTAGAATTATTGTGACGTTTTACTAATTATCACCCAATCTATGTTTTACCCTTTGCATTTTCAATCTTTTCTCTGGCACACAGTCAGATACCTGAACATAAAAAAGGAATGTTAGATGATAACTGTTTTCTATCGATTGAATGGTAGGTTCCTTTCTTTTTTTCCAGCCTGGTGACCAAATTAAGAAAAAAAAAGAAACAATTTATCCCCTTACCTTTGCTTTGCTTATTAAGAAAAAATAGTAAATGAACCAAATTATTATGTTTTACATTCTATATTAAATTACTAAATTCTAATATGTCAAGTAAATTTTGTTCTATTCAATTCACACTTTGACAATATTTAACTGCTTTGTGATTACTTTTTAACTATCTTATAGTTCATTCGTCACCTCAGCCATCAACAAATGAAGATTTGTGTTCTATGCAAGAAGAAGATCTAGCAAAGGTAAAAAGAAGTAAACTGGATCGTAGTATTGTACGAAGTTTATATTCTTAGTGTTAGTGTTGAAAAGCTTGCGGGAAAGTGCATTACATATACGTGATAAAAAACATTATGTCGTTCCCAAGTGGTCAATGATGAATGTTTGAATAGAATGTAGAGTGGAACATGGGATTTCCGTTTTTCCTTCCCTCGAAATTAAAGCTTCCAAAAAAACAATCTGGTAAATTCTTAAATACTAGGAAAACGTAAGCCCAAGTTTGTCGGTAACAAGTTGCGTATAGAATTACCTATTCAGAGAATTGGGAGACACCCGAGCATTTTCCAAAAAAACTTTGCTGAAAAAACATCAATAAAAAAAAAATGAACTGCTCTTGTATTTCATGATTTATGGTCATGGTTGATCGATCGTCAGTCAGTTTCATAGTTATGCCGAGGTAAAGGAGTTGATACCGCTTAATTAAATAATACCGAGTGGGAAATGTTTCGTGATCGATTCAGTCGATTTTTCCTTGTTTTACTGCTAACATTCTCGTGAATGCACAGCAAAACTTTTGATGAACACAGCGTGTGAAGTGCTGAAATCTGGTATATTGTGTGAATTCCGCAGGTTGTTTTTTCAAACATTGGTGAACATATGTATGTAGTAAAACAAGTTTAGTCCACCAACATCAGGTTGGACGTTTCCACATGCTCTCTTAATTGGCGACAATCGAAAAGATCCAACCATTCGGTTGAATGATTTAGCGACCATAAAACCAAGCTAAACTATCCAAAGAGGTCGAATGTCAAATAACATTGTTAAATATTTATCAAGATACTCGAACAGTTTCTGAAATTTCCATCAGAACTAAAGCTTGATGACTTTTTTTTCACTTCTCAAGCCATGGTCTACGAATTTTTTTAAAGTACCTGTTGCAGGGAACCGTTAGTTATTCCCAGCTGTGCTGCATATACATGTAAATTATGCCTAGTATGTCCGCATTACTCAGCTCACACTAGTATCCTGAAAATTCGAATTAAGAACTCAAGCAGCTTACCGATGACTGTACTGTTTCGATATCGGAGGAAATCGTTCCAAAGAAAGGAATCCTTGTGATGACTTGTCTGGTCTGTTATGGAGACTTGCGGTTAGCTTCTTATTAAATGCTTCCGTAGAAAACAAATCATTTTTAAACTACTTTGCTTTTATAAAATGCCACAAGGGACTTGTTTTAAAAAGTTTAAAACAGTTTCAACGAGGTTTCCAAAGGATTCCAAGAGAAATTCGCCGCATTACGCAAACGTCATAGATACTAAAATTAGGCATGACATTAAGCTATGCATTATCTGGATTTAGGGTAACAGAGCGGGAACTTTATGCGACGACGTACTAGATTAAGCGGGGAGAGCAGCTTCCGGCTGCCACCTTGGCTCGGGAAAAATCTGAGCACATTAAGCTTCCAGAGTGTATGAATGGAATCTCCCAGGATAAAAGCACTCTCTTTAGCTAAGTACTGTAGATACTCCCAAGATGTTATATCGTGTTCGTCAGTATTCAGACTTCAGAGATGAAAAAGAAGGAATCAGTTTGAAGGAACTGAAGCAGGAGAAGGATATATAGAGAATAATACGTGGGCGCGCGTAGATATGGAAATTCTCTTCGAGTGTTTAACTCCATAGCTCACGAGTGAGATGTCGAGTTGAACACAAGAAGAAAAATTTCATATCTACAAGTAACCATGTATTATTTTGTTAACCACATAAGCACAATAGCCCTTTACTGACAAGAAAAGTCGAATTTATTAATAAATGGAAATAAAAGGATCGACAATCCCCCAATAAAAATCGTAAAGTGCGTTAGCGCACTCAAAATGAAAACATGCGTTGAATCACTAAAAAGACAATGAGCATAATTTTCAATATACAAAATTTTCAGTTATTCAATTGTTCCTTACCGATAGAAGAAATCCTTCAGGTACACGGCGAAAATCGGCCTATGGTAAATCTTCCAGGAGTCGATTTTCGTTCTCAGTCGCGAGAAATGCCATTGATCCAACATTGCTGCTTTGAACTATATTTTTCTATAACAAATTGCGTTATGTTTGTCAGGATTCAGACTCCAGTGATGAAGGAGAAGGGATCAGTGTGGATGAATTGAAGCAAACGGATGGATATAGGTTATTTGTTGAAGCTTTGGATGCACACGTTAAGGCTAACTCGACTAAAGAGTAATTTATTGCCGAAAGACACTGGGCGCCCTTCTTTAAACTATTTATTTGTTGCAGCAAAGCTTGTAGAATACAGGACGAGAGTTAACCCCACCACTTAAGTTGTACAGTACGCTTACATTAAATTAAACAGGTTCAGTAGCTTTTCACGAGTACATACTTTAGTTTCGTGTTAATTACATTCCTGTAAATATACGTTAATTTAATTAATTAATTAATTAATTCAATGTATGTATGTATTTATTTTATCTACGAATGTTTTCTTTTGAGAAGAACTCATTCTCATCCTTATTTTGTGTTAAATCAACATGATGAAATTGGAAAAAAGTTATAAATAATAGTAATTAATTGTTTAGTCTGAAAATATCGAGCTACAAGATATTTGAAGGCATTCGCTGCCTATGTCAAAAGTATTTTTATGAATGCTGTAAGAAATATTTTAAGTATTTTTATGAATGTTTTAAGAAGGATCTGTTACTGTTTTTGGTATAATTTTTGTACTGTAACTCGTGTAAAAATGTCGGTAATTTAAAAAAAAAGGAAAGAAAAAGTAAAAAAATACTAGAAAACACACTGAAAACACACTCATCAAAAAACCGTTTTCGTCCATAATTTGTATCACATTTCTATGTACATTAAACATGGACAAACGTTCTCCGTGGTTGTGACGTTCTTATTTTGTAAATGACTAAGTATTTCTTTAAACTTACCGGTACCAAATTCTTAGTAATGAGAAATATAGCTGACCATGGCCAGTTTCCCACTGAACGTAAATACCTAGCAACACATTTCCCAACATGTATGATGAGCTGATAACCAAATAGCATATAGAAAAAACACGATCAGTAGTGAAAACCGACTGTTATGGAATTCCACCAGAAACACGATCTTGAAGGGAGAAGGCATTGGCAACGAGACAGTGACAGTGACATTGTGAGATAACAAGTGAAACATTATTGAGAAAGTTGATTATTCTTCTATGCGTGTTATGCTATAACGATTTCTAGGAAAGTGAAGTCATAGGTCTCGTTAGATACCACCTTAGTTGAAGAAATCAAGGGAAGGCTCAAGCCGTGATGGATTTGAAAAGGGTGTTGAGCATGGCTTGTAACTAGGCACGACGAGTTTCGGTGTACGTCTACGGTTGTTTAACATATTCGGGTGAGACAGTCTAAATTTCCCTGCTGTACCAACATTATTTCACCTTTTTAGCTGTTTGCCAACAGTTGACCATCGTTTTTGCTTATTGGAGCTTAAGGGGCAAAGGGAGAGTAGGGAGAATTGTGGATGATCTGCTGTTGATGAGAGAGTTAAAGGATGTTTGGGGAATGGTTTGTGACTACGAGAGGGGATACTTTAAAGATTTGTTGACCACTGCGAGACCGGGTCTCGTATCTATCAATTAGAAAGAAAAGCTGTCAGAATGCTATAGTGCAAAATGATGTGTAAGTAATTGCAATCAAAACCTTTTAAAACTAACTCGAAACAAACTGGATTTTTTGGATTCTGGTATTGAAAAAGATGCCTGTTTTTCATTTATCCATCCCGCTAATGACGAGGGAAAAGGTAGTAAACAACTTAAATGGCTTCATAATGATACGATATCCCTGAAAATTATATCCTATTATTGACCATACCTCTATAGTTTCAATACGCTATTCTAAAAAAAAGTGTTAAGCCCATTTATGCACAGCTTCACCTACGCATTAATTGAAAGAGGCTTTTTTGAGTAAGTTCGTCCCACAGACGTGTAAGAGGGTGTGGTGTTTTCCCATCCCCGATCAAATGGTGTTTAAGACAAGCTTTTTGATTGGGGGTCTTCTCCCAATTGCTTTACCGCTCCTCCTGATGACCGTGAGAATTACACATCTGCCCAGGTTCTTTTAAGGAAGGTTTTCAGCCAGAGATAGGGATGAAAGTTTTGAAACATTGTTATCGTCGTAGAGATTGGTTTAACTGCGATACCCACATCAGGTGCGTAGCGAGTGTACACAGAGTCATGTCCAAAGCTGTAAGCGGTCGCAAACCACATTCTAGGCTCAAAATAAAAGTGCGAAAAAGACTTGCAAATGTTGACTTTTCACAGATTTGTTAGTTCATAAACTTCAACGGGATACATGTAGTTGGGTCAGTTTATTGATGTTACATACTTTAAGTTTTCTTCCTCCTTTACCAAGGACGGAATTCTTCCGAAAGAAGAATTTAAAGAGTGTTTAACACAGCATTTTTTTTGAGAATTACAGACGTATTACTTCAGATTAACGTATGATTTGAATTACAATGATATTGTGATGTATAGTTTTGAGGAGTTTTCTTATTATTTTTAACCAGCTGTAACGTCTTATATTCTAGATATTGGTCAAAGTGACAAAGTCATGTCCTAAAAAATCCTAAATTTAGCTGAACCTTTTATCTGAACATTTATTTTTGCAAACAGGGCCAAAAGCTAATATTAGAAGGACGTTTAATTAATTAAATCAATTACTCTTATTGAGAGAACCTGAGGCTCACTGATTGTGTAAAACCGTGGTTTGGGTTAGATCTTGAGCAAATAACCGGCCCTGTAGGTTTTCGATGCTAGCCTTGATTTATTTTATTCCTGGCCTTGTTCGATTCTATTTTTAACAAGGCAAATTTATCACATTTTCTCAAAATCAATTTAAAGACATAGTGAAACGTCTTCCAAGAAGGGTGCGTGAATCAGGTGATATCGATTTGGAAATTCTACCGGCTGACTAAAATGAGACCGTTTTGAAATATTTTCCACTCCATCTCCACCCTTTACTAACCTGGAATATGTCTTGAACTAAATTAATGGTAATGGATTGAGTTTTAGGTATAACTTTTAAAGAATTCGCAAAGTCATGCAGAGCGAGTATACCTTCCACGGCCACTTACAAATTTTCCTGGAACCATCGGAAACTAAAGCCTAGTCTACTGAGTGTATTCTCCTGTGCTTCTTTAGAGATAGCGATTGCTTTTTATGAACAAGTACACTGTATAGGTGGCGTATCAACTGATCATTAGTATTAGAACCAATTCCTAGAACCTGTCATTGAATTCTGGTGATCGGCCAAAAATGTCAAGTATAGGATGTACTTCTTCGTACACCTGTTTAATTTTTTGGATATTTCCAGAATTAACAGCTTCTTGGCACTGTTTAACGATTGCATTAAATTTCTTAAAGAGTTCTAAGCATCGCCTCAAATTCTTCTGAAGACGATGGCCTATTTCTGGATCATCATTTGTTTCATGGTGAAGAAGTTTGTCAGCAGGACAATACTCTGCACATGCACCGAGGATTGATCTATTTCTGTCATCTCCTTGCACATTCTCCGGTACGAAGCCCTTTAAGTTTTTGAAAGTGCGCCGGCAACTTCCACATGCAGGTTTGGGGTGGCCATTGATCATTTTTGCTTTCGATCTCCATTCCTGCGTATATTCTGTTTCTAATGGCTGGTGAAATATGATTGCTTTTCTGAGACTCGCATTTTTGAAATCAGCAATTCTTTTGTGCAAATAGAGAGGGCGTAAGAAATTACTTACTGAAATCGACGCGCCAACAAAGCTCTCGCCATTATGTGAAACAACTGCTAAAACCTTCGGTCTGAATAAGTCAGGGATAGAGCGGAAAAGATCTGTTGCTTCTTCCATTACTTTTTGGACATGCTGTGGACTGCCTTTTGGGACATCCTCTCTCTGAGTTATGTCGCTTACCTAAAAGATAAATAAAAATCAGCCTAAGCTAAAAATTAGCTTGCGTGTAATAATTTTGGGGGACCTGAACTGGCTAACAAAAGGTAAGAGGTATATTTATTGAAAACTTTCCTTACCACTTCGAGAGCTTTTAAAATTTTCTTATTCTAAATAAGGTAACGTCAACCGTGACTGCTATATACTTTGTACTTAACATCCTATAATATGGCCTTCACTTGAGGCCCCAGTCATGGCTCTTAAAAAGTGTAGAGTTGATTCTCGACAATTCGAAACGTTGCTCACTAGAACCTCTCAGTAGTTCATTTACTCAACTTTACCCTTCTAAACTCGAAACAGAATATGTGGTAACGGAAGCTCAAAACACAGCAGCTTGATGTCTTGAATACATTCAAACAAAGACAACCAAAACAAAATTCACTAATCCACTTTGCGTGGATAAGTTCCTTGGTGTAACCTTTTCGCTATAAAATTAAAGCCAATCTCATTATCAGGACGCGGTTCCTTTAAAATATTGAATGAATGTGTTGACTGCTGGTTCATGGATGGCCGGAGGATGGTGGAAAGAACTCGCTGTGATCTTTTTTAAAAAAAGAATCTCGAGAAGTTCTCGACTCTAAAGTTGCCAATATCATCAAAAGGAGACATTTAAAGACAAAGGAAAAAAGGGGGTAAGTTTCCAAAGAAACTTTGGTGCTGCGTCCGGCGGTGGGAGAGTATAACAGGTTAATCGAGACTTATTTACTGAGTTGATAACGTAAATTGGCCACCGCAAAGAGTTATAAGGCTGACCTTTCGAGCGTGAGCCTTTCGTTGGAGCGATAGCGTTAGCCCAATCGTTCTGACGAAAGACCAACGCTCGAAACGTCAGCCTTTTAACTTTTTACGGTGGCCAATTTACGTTTTCAACTCAGGCAATAACACTAAATTACCCATTTTAAGAGAAAGGTCGGTTCGTGAGGCTGCCTTTGGGATTTTCAATGTTGTGATGTCGATCATTTTTTAATGCGTTATAGCGGTGTAAAATTCCACAATGCGGTATTGCGGCGCTCTCAGATCCTGCGGTGGAATGTACTTGTTTTGTCAAAGCATTAACGTATGGTGAAAATAAATTATTTTAATTGTCGTGTTTCTGGTTTGGACCCTTGCTAAATAATCTTGACCTAGTCGTTCCTGTCAGAACCAAAAGTAGCTAATATTAGTGGCAGAAATTTGATAATATACCTAAAAATGATTTGAAACAAGGATTTTTTTCTTATAGAAAACTTGAAAATCAACAAATTCAGTGATAGAGG